AAGACCACAAGAAGAGGTATGAAGGAGTAAGGAGAGGACTGGTGGACGGGTGCTGGGCAGACAGGGCTTGCATCTGGTCAGCTCCCAACTCTCTCTCTTCTTTCAACCAGGCTAAAGCAGCTGAGCGTGGAGCCCTACAGTCAGGAGGAGGCCGAAAGGGCAGCGGGTATGGGCTCTTATGTGCCCCCCCAGCGGCTGGCCGTGCCCACAGAAGTATCCACTGAGGCCCCCGAGATGGACACATCTCCCTGACATGGCCTGAGGATGTAGGGTAGGGGAACTGCCCATGGACAGTGGTGCAAGGGCTAGGCTGGCAAAGACTGTGCCAACCTATTTTGGCCCTGGGTTTGGGGAGTGGATGGCCTCTTCTGGGTGCCCTCACCCCCAATAAAGGAACTGGATGAAGAGGACTTGTCTCTGACTCTCTAACCTCCAGGCCACTCCTCCAAACTCCTGCCCTGTAGGGGTTTCTCTGTTACTCTTGTTTACAGGGCCGAGGGTGTCCATTCCCCACTTGGTCCGGCTTTGGACCTACAGCCTTGCTTTCCCTCAGGGGTCCTGGCATCTGAGCTGGAGCCCCAAGATGGAGCCCAGGTCAGTGAAGGGGAGAGGGAAGATCAGGGACTGACACTCAGAAAAGAAGTGGGCTCCCGAGATTGCAGCCCCCACTGAGTCACCTCCCCCAGGACCCGGGCGTGAGGCTGCCTACTTTATCATCAGGCCTGTGGCGGCCGCCGCTGCCCCACCATCTTCCAGACAGCATAGCAGGAGCCACCCAGTCCAAGGACAGCCAGCAGTGTAGCCACTACCCCGGCCAGTGGACTCCGGGGCTCTGCTTTGAGCTCCCCAGCTATCTGCATCTGGAGATACACAGAGGGTCCATCTGAGGGGTTAGTTGAGACTTCTGGGAAGGTGGGGGGGTGGGAAGGAGCTGAGCGGGTACAGCTGGGTGAAGGAGATATGGATGCCATTGCTGCCCCAGGGAGATTCCACCCCAATCCCTCTCGCTTCACTGCCCATCTGGGCCCTGGCCGCTCAGGCGGCAGGAAACGTGACAGCCTGGATGCTGGGGGTGTTAGCCCAGCTATGGTAGGGGAAAGAGGGGGTCCGTGGCTGAAGCCGTAGGTTAGAGGTACTTACCTGTAGCACCCGGAAGTAGCCAGGGGTCAGGCGTCGAAATCTCATGGTGGGTGCCACTAGTCTTCCTTGGCGGCCTGTGGGGTGGAAGCAGAATGAGGATTAGTGGTGTTCATAATACCAAGGAGTGGAAATCAGGGCATAGAGGTGTCTGACCTCTCATATCCATGGGAGCCATACCTCAGAGGATGCTCACCAGCGTCTGCCCTCCCAGGTCTGGCAGGGGGCGGGGCAGCTGAACCTTTAAATCTGGTCCCTTCCCCCGCCTGCCCATCCTGCCAGCTTCAGGAGCAGCTGTCAAGAGAGATCAGCATCAGGCCTGAGCAGCACCTCCCCCACTCACCAGGGAGGCCAGGCTGGGTAGGGCAGGAAAGGCCTTGCCTGGCAGCGCTCAGGAGTCTTAGACCTGGACCAGGTACTGGGAGGGTCTCCCCAGCCCGGGTCCTGGCTCTATCCCTACTCCTCAGATGGTCGGATATCACGAGTCAGCCCTCAGCATAGGAGGGGCAGGGTGCCTTATTAGCCCTCCCTGGTCGCCCTGAACATTGGTGAGCCTTTTCACTTGGTTTCTGTTACATCAACGCCCATTACCTTGGCGGGGGGAGGGCACATATCACTTCTTTCTGCAAGATGAAGTTCCCGCAGGGACTTTTCCTATTCTTGGCTTGGGGACAATAATAAAAGGAGATTAGCATATACTGATTAAGAGAGCTGTCCATGGCATGTTAAAAAACAGCTGACTGTGCCAGGCAGTATTATAAGCACTTAACATGTATTAATTCATTTGGTATTGGTTATCTTATAATATGAACAACAACCACATGTTTTCAGAATAGTATACAGAGTACCTGCATATGCAGAGAATGGAAACTTTACAGTGGTCCCCACTTGGGCCTAGAATAGAGATATAATGACCTACTGCTAACCTTTGAATATTTTACAACAAAGATGCAGAAGGAACTTTTATAAACTCAGAAAACTACCTTTAAAATAGAAGCTACCTTGGGGCGCCTGGGTGGCTCAGTCGGTTAAGCCTCCGACTTCAGCTCAGGTCACGATCTCACGGTCCGTGAGTTCGAGCCCCGCGTCGGGCTCTGGGCTGATGGCTCAGAGCCTGGAGCCTGTTTCCGATTCTGTGTCTCCCTCTCTCTCTCTGCCCCTCCCCCGTTCATGCTCTGTCTCTGTCTGTCTCAAAAACAAATAAACGTTAAAATAGAAGCTACCATTTACTCTGCCCTTAACTGCCTAGCCCTGCCAGGTGCTAGGAGCAGAAAATAAAGGCAAGGTTATGTGGGGCGCCTGGCTGCCTCGGTCGGAAGAGCATGCGACTCTTGATCTTGGGGTTGTGAGCTCAAGTCCCACGTCGGGTGTAGAGATGACCTCTTAAATAAATAAATATTGTTTAAAAATAAAGGCAATGTTGTGGACGTCAGGCCCCCAATCCTTTTAGGGGTGCATGTGAGTGGTGAGTTCCTGTCTGTTTCTGCCCTACAGGACTGTGTGTTCAGGCTGGCTCAGGGTAGGTGTTTGATGAAATCAGGGTGGTGGAGACAGGTGTGTGTTTACTGGGCTTCCCCAGAGCGCCGCAGGGAGGCTGTTGAAGGAAGAGGGCAAAACGGAGGAGTGATGAAAGGACACGTGCAGCTCAGGGTATGAGGATGCATGAATGGGGCCAAGGACAAAGCCAGAGAGGGGAGGGCTGTGTTGCACAGTGGAGCCTGCTGGTTCACCAGCGAGGGAGTCAAGCCTGCAGGTACCTTCGAGGACCCTGAAAGATGCAGATAACAATCTGCATTCTTGTTTGATGCCGCATGTAATGGTAGGAGGGAGCCAGGGGAGCGGGCCAAGTTCCAGAGAACTCAATTTGTATGTGAAATTATTAAATGATGGCAACTAACACACACCCATTATATGGGCCATCCAGAGGCCAAGTGCAGAATTTGGATTTGGGGGCAAGATCATGTCAGGCTTTGAAGGCTGGGTACTGGGGCACTGGTAGGGATTCCAAAGTGACACAGTCAGAGGGGCAGGCCCTGGGAAGCCTTCCCAGGCCCCTCTCCATAGAACTAAAGCAATAATAATAGCTCAGATCCATCCCATTTGACAGATTTCAAAATACTTCAAGGAAATCTTCACAGCACTAAGGTCTAAGTGTCTCTGTTTTAGACAGGAAGGAACAGTTCAGAGAGGTGTTGAAATTGGGCGCAGTCACATAGCAAATGGAAGTGATTCTGTCTGATTCCAAAGTCCTGGGAGTCTCCTGGCCTGGGATGGTGGTGGTGGTGGTGATAGCTACAAATCGTATGTCACAGATTATTGTTCTAAGAGAAAAGCTCTTAACTGGGATTCAGAATACAGAGGGCCGATAAACTTGGATGGGAAAAAAAGTGATATATTTTCACTAAACTGTAACCAAAATTTACCACTTCCTTCTATATGGATTGAAGTATTAGCAGTATCTGTGGCTTTGTCACCAATTGAAATCACAGATTTT